TTTTTTGAGATTTGGTTAAGTATTGTAATAGATAACAAATTTTTTTGGTTTGTAAAATATTTTAGAAATGTTAGATTTAATTAGGATTTGTTTTCTATTAGGATGTGTTATTATTTCAGGATTTGTTAAATATAATTAGAAATTGGTATGTAATATGATATGTCATATTTTAAAGATTTTTTAGATTTAATTAGGAATTGATTTGTATTAAGATATTATTTGTGGATTTAATTAGGAATTATTTTGTATTATGATATGCTATTAGAAATTCGATTATTTTTTGCATTAGGTTGGCTTAGTTTAGTTTGGAATAAGATCAAGGATTGAAATATGTAATGTAAGGGATTTTTAATTTGGAATAGTTAGACTAAATTTGGATGTGATAGATTTGTATGGGTTGTTAGTTTTAGTTAAGTTATCTTTAAATTAGTTATATACTTATATTATATGTGGCTATTTAGGCTTTTTTTTTGGGTGAATTGTGGCTTTTTAGGCTTGCAACCACATATTAGGTTATAGCCATTGGCTATACAATTATATTTTAGTAGCAAATTTGGAATGAAGTCATGAACACAATATATAATATATTCAGATCGGGTCTTGTTTCTGAAACTCAATTTCAAAACTACACAAGATATAGTGGAAACACGTAGCAATTAATAAAAATCGACTTAAACCCCACTATATATTCTTTATTAATTTTAAAATAATGAAACCAGACAAATACTCATCAGTTTCATGTTGTAAAGTAACTTAAAACAACATAAACCGAAACATTTGATTTTAGGTATGGAAAATTCAAGAGCAACGTCCGATTTTGGCAGAGATGACCGTGAAGTTGAAGGGAGACCACCAATTGTAATCGATATATATTTGTTGGGTGGGAAGGAGAGCATTGCCATTGTTAATGAGACACACATCACCGGTTTGCTTAATCATGGAGCTATCAAGGGTTGTGCTCGATTTAAAGCCACCACATGAAAACTTTATGTCACTGACTTCGCAGGGACAAGTGTTCGTCACTCTAGCTTGAATTCCCGGTACGTATTTAATCATATTATAGATAAAGTATTGAACAATTGTTACATTCTTAGCATTACACTCCCCATTACCTTCAAAATTTCGCAATAAAAAGCGTTATGAACTTTGGATATAACATATAAGTTTATATATTATTAAGTTTTGGATATATTAGGTATTTTTTTTAACTTTTTCAAGAATGATTACATTGCAAATTTTAAAAGTATAATATCAGTGCTGATATATGTGTATATGATATACCTTGTGGGACAAAGACAAAGATGAGGAGGAGGCAAACGAGTTTGCAAGTTGTTGCTGCCATTGATTGATCTTTGGAGTTTTATGAGAGAATTTAGGAGAATTGTTATTATAAAATTTGTTTATGTGATTTTCACTAGAACTATTTATAATATGGAGGCATTGCTACCAAACATAATGGGGGAGATGAATTGGATTAGTGATTTTAGGTAATTTGGTGTAATTTAGATTTGGAGAAATTTCAGTGTATTTGAAGATTCTTT